GCTGAAAGCTTGCTGATCTGGGCCGATTGACAAACCAGTTCCCAGCCAGCAAATCAGTATACCAAATTGGCAAATCCTTAGTTGGCGCAGGGATGGCACAATCACGGGATGGTCCGTTTTTGGCAGAATAGACATGCAAACCTCCGGGGTACAAGTTACTGCCCAAAACATACGGTAAACTCTGCTTAAGGATTTTTGAAATGCTATAGCTACTGGACCTGCCCTTGGCGGCTGCACCTAAAGTAACCCTGGAATCCAACATAGCTACGATCCAACATAGCTACGATGCGACAGTTTGGATGGCTTTTGGCACAATGCTTAATCCATGTTGAGTAAACTTGACTTTCAAGGATATTGATGTGTGAAGGTTTTCGGAAACGGTACTGAAACAGGAGGCGAAAAGGCAACGAGTCAGCTAGTTCAGAGATCCACTCAGGATCATCATACCATTCACGAGCGGATGCAGCTTCATCCAAAGACACTGATTCGAGCCATTGCGAATCAAGATCCATGCCAACTCTACGGAAGGACAACATGCGATCGGCTAACGAAAAACAAGGATTGCCTTCTTTCTTGGCAGTGACACTGCCTCTGGACATCACATTCATCATGCTGATCGGATATTGCGCCGAGAAGCTTGCGACAGGCTCGCCAACTCTGGGCTTTCTGCCGTAAACAGTTTCTGAATTGGGAACACACCTGGCATCGAACTCTTCAATGCGGCTGCGAGTGAAAGTTCCTTCAACGGTGAAATGGTTCCCTTTCCACTTACAGTTACACACCCCATCCATGCCTGCTAGCCACCCTTTATTATGCAACCGCTGGTAAGGTTTATTTAGGGCAGATCCATACGAACAAGATGCAACACGAGTGACAATGCAACCTAGCATAATTAACACCCGAAAACAATGCAACCTGAACATAACCGAGGATCCAACTGTTTCAGATAAGCTTCGCGAGCTGCGTACCCTTTGACGTTGACCGAGCCGCTTGACGATCCGCCTAAAAGCGCGACCAGGGGGTCGGATGGTGTCTTTGGGGCCAGCCTAGAGAGCCGAGAGTGCTATCCTTTGAGCCTTCTAGCTAGAAGGCTTATCCTGGCCATATATAGAAGACAAGATGAGCTTTAAGGCTCATGTTGCCCAAAAGGCTTATCCTGCCTGTGCACATGGCTGATCATAAGCATGATAGCAAGGATCATCGATTAACTGCATGATCCTTGGTATAATTTATCGCGTATGTAAGGTTTCGTGTTGATTGGACTCAACACATGTTCACTCGATTGGGTGTGGGAATTAAGTTTAGACAAACTTTTGCTGAGGTTGTGACAGTTTTTTCTTTTTTTTCCGCTTCTCGCGCTCGCGTGTCTTGAAGCCGCTCGATGGCCGCACTCGGTTGTACATGCTCAAAGGGCGCGTGGGCCCTTAAGGGGCGCGGCGCGCGCGAGAAGTTGTACTTAGCAAGGTTCTGTTCAACAAACATGTTCTCAGAAAGGGCCGGCCATGTATACTAGGTCTCTTCGATCAGCTAGTGTGGTCAAGTTTGAGTAGGGGAAACTCATTTCCTGTTACCATGTTTAATGTAGGTTGTTCGAGGATATTTTCCTCAATGTCTGTGGAATGCTGCTGGCCCTCTCGGTGAGCCACGCGAAGCGAAGGAGGTACGCAGACCCCCTATACGCTCCGCTACCACACGTCAGTGAATCAGAGCAGAATTGAAGATTTCTGTCAATTGTTTTTCAGGTAGCTTAGACATTAGTCAGAGGACTCCTTTCCATGAGCAGGACAGTGAACCAATTTTCATTCCAGGCACACGTTTGACGCAAGAGTGCATGAGCTGTGTACGTGCCTTGTGCGTCGCAGCTTTTGGGGACAGTGCGCTCGTGGGTTTGAGGGCGTGGTACGCGTGCGCCATGGGACTTCATGTCTTGAAGCCTTCGAAGAAACACGGCTTGAAAAAGGTCAAGTCCAAGCGACGGAGCCCTCCTTCGACTTGGGGTGACAACAGGAGGTTTCGCCAGTCTGTCCAAAAACTACACCCTCTTCAAGCGAAGTTGTTCCTTAGCCTAATACTAACCTTATATATAGTTAACTATACACGAACACAAACAACTCACCAGACTTTGAGAGGAAGTTGATATGTTTGGAACCTGGCAGCCTCTGCAATCCAAGGTTCAAGCTACTGGTGTTTGCAGGCCTTCCATTTGGCTTGCTATCTCTATGTGATGCTGTTTTGGGGTCCATGACAAATCCCACCATAGTGCCTTGGAAAAAGATTGTGCACTGTACGCTGCTTTGGAAAGGTCGTTCATGTGGTTTCCGTTCATGTCCCATGGTCCCTCCTTCAATCAATGAAAAGTCCCATTCACTAGAATTGTGGAACCCATTCACTATTCCCAGATCCTCTGCCCAGGCACTTTCGTGCGTCGAAGTCTTCGCTGGTTGCAAGAGCATCACGAATGGCTTTAGGCTTCTTGAACTCCGTCAGCGAATGTGCTGGAATTAAAGTTTTCATGATATATAGGGTGGAGACATCTGACACTGAACCATCGCAGAGTCTTTGAGAGTTTTGGGGTTCTCAATCATTGTGAGCGGATCTAATTAATAATATATTCTCAAGACTGTCCATGGAGTTCTAGTCGCCCATGAGACCAACGAACATGCGCCGCCGAACTCGCAGGGCCCTTGGCCGTGATGCTGCCTCCTTCGAATTGGACGACTCTCCACTACAAGACATGTTGAGCGGCATCGGCTACATGGCTGATCATAGAAACACACCCAAAAAAATGACCACAGGACAGGCCTCAAGCAAAACACTAGTCATTGTTTGGGAACTCACTCCATAAAAGGTCTATGTAGATATGTAGAATCAAGGACAAACTTGAAGATAAACACCGGTCATGGAGTAGTTTCTTGCTCTGCATCAGGCTTCGCGTACGCCGTGGCCCTACTCACCAGGCTTCATCGGCTTGAAGCTTGGATCAATAGGGTTGACAAGGTTCACTGCAAGAAATGGTGAAGAATGTCAACAGATTGATTGAAGTTGAGAACTCAAAACAGTATGGGTGAACTCAGGCGGGGCTATTGTGGTTAGCGCCTGTTTGCAGCTCATGGGTATGGGTGAACAGGCCAGACAAACGCAGACTGTCTCAAGGATAGTGTTTGTTTCTGAAGCTGCTTCAATTGAAGCCTTCTCAACCCTCAGAGCGGGTGAAACGTTGGCGGACGCTCTTCCTGATCAGATCCACCTCCTGCCGGAGCCGTGAAAAACCACTCGGTGACACCAACAAGGCGTTCGTTGTTGCAGCGACTCTTGGCTACTTAAGTGTTCGAGGGTCCAGGGTAAAAAGATTTGTGAGTCAGTGGATTTGGCATCTTTGGACAGTTGCAGCTTTTCTACTTTGTGACTCTGGGTTTTTGTGTGTTATTCGATGCGTGCACAGTTGAGACCAGCAATCTCACGCAAAAGTCTTGGCCCGTTTTGTTGACACTAGCTAGCCTCTTTGCCCGCCGGCCTCTCTTGGTCTTGTTCATGTCGGAGAGCAAACCACTCGGGGCCTGGACATCTCCCGGAGCGATTCTTGCGATGCAGGAGCTGCTGCCCGCACGGGACCCCTATAGCTCTGAAAGTGAAAGCTCGGATATCTCTCCATCTGAGCGTCATGTGTGGGAGTGGGAGAGTTGTGTTCCAGCTTTGGGGGCCACTAGATATGTGAGTGCATTGCAGTTGCTTGGGATAGAACTCGCCAAAGCAGTGCCGAACGAAGTGAAAGCTAACGCGATCACTCCGCTTCCGGATCCGACTGGAGATATCGTGGTTGGAAGATTTGGCAAAAAACCGACCAAAGAGCGGCTTTTGAGTTTAGGCTGCATTAAGTGGGCGACAAAATCTGTCAAAAGAATCAACAACGTGAACAATTTGGCAGACAACATTACTTGAAATCAGTTTGGTATGATTTACTTCCCAGGATCAAGAACTTCTGGCTTCTTCACACGCTCCTAAAGTTCAAGGAGTTTCAAGCCCGGAAACCATCAAGACCAGAACTGGAGATTGTGTTCACAGCCTTCAACCACGAGTACAAGGCAATCATGTTGTCACATACTGCAACACTTCCCTTTGTGCCCACCACATCTGCCCACATTCAATCCAGGGCCTTGCTATCCGTGACACTGAAGACTTTGCGCCTTAGCATGTTGGCAGCGAGTGCTCAAGAGTTTTGGAAGGAAAACCACGTGACCCCTCAAAATGTTGGGAGGACCCAAGTCTTCGCGCCAACGCAGCCCAGGACTTTGAAACGCTGATGGAGTCGATCATTTGCAAAACTCAGAAGCTATGGTCTGGGCTTCGGAGGAGAGTGTTTGAGAGAGTAAACTACAAACAAGCCTTGGGTCTAGCAGTTCATGGGAACTTTGGAGGCAACACCAAGTTTAGTCTCTTGATTGTTGTTTCCATGGAGTGACTTGGGTACCCATTTTTTGCAGCTCCAGGAAATGGCAGAATGCAAAGCACAGCAGTCGCAGTCCATGGGTCCAAGTCCTGAAAGATCTCATGCGCACCAGTGGGTCTACAGGACTTGTCGACTTGGACGCGGAAACCGATCGGCTGGGGGGGAGCGACGATGAATCAGGGACGGACGATGATGCAATCCCTGACAACTTCATGGGGGTAGAAGATGTCCCAGCCCATGATGACAACTCAAGCCCAGAAAGCTCTGCCGACCATGTTGACCAACCTCAACCTCTTGAGAACACAGTGGGTTCCTAAGAGTTCAACTCACATGAACTTTCATACAGTGCAGTTGTTGTTAGTGTTGTAGTGTTTCACATACGATTAAGACCCCATAAGGCGGATGAAGCTGAAGACGGTCCACTCCGTCGACCACATGCATCAGCATCGGCGGCAGCGGAAGCGGCTCATGCACAGCATGCGATGGTTCTTTTCGAGGTGGGAAAGGATATCAACATATAACATATATAAACACACCAGTTCTTTCCAACCCATGCAGCCACTTTATACAACCCAGTCTTCACAGTGTCCTTGTTCCAGCTCTCTCATTCAGGACCCCGGCATCCAGTCTTCTGCAGAAAGCTCACCTTCACCGGTGAACGTTGACACCAGGGTTGTGCGCCAGAAACGTAAGTCCAAGGCAAAAGGGAAAAAGAACGGAAGTAAGAAACAAAAGAAAGCTGTGGTGGAAGCTAGTGTGGAAGCTGTGGCGGGCAGTACTGACCAAGAACTTGTGAATTCTTTCAAAGAGGAATACCGTTCATTGATTGAATCCATGCCACCACAACTACGACCTACGAGCTCACGACATGGAGAGCACAGCTACACTGTGTCCCTCAGTTCCAAAGTGCTTTGCTGACTTGTTGACATCTTGAACAAGTAGGTGACAAGTGTGTCTAAGTCTATTTCCCCTTGAAATGCTCAAAGCAGCCGATCCTCACTAAGGTGGGTGTCCAACAAGGCTCGCGTTGAGATCTTGCTACGACAGCAGGCTATCAAGCCAAAATCGGATACCTCTGGCCAATTGCTTAGTGGGCCAGGTGCGAGGTCGAAGCTTGTCCAATACACAGTGCACATGTAAATTGGTAAACCGATAGTGGGAAACATGGGACTCATTTGCTTGTGTGTCTTCAACATTCAACTGCATGGTATCTTCAACTAACATGGGACACCTCCACTGTAAGCCCCCAATCGGTTGTGGTCCCTTCGCTTCGCTCAGGATTTCATTTGCGAAGGATGATGTGGCGTCTGCTTGGGAGAAGGCGAAGAGCGTGGTAGGGCTAGATTAGATTGTCAGGGTATTAGAAACGCTGGGCCTTAGGTGACTGGCCATCCTGAAGGTTTGATCTCTCATTTCTGGAAGTACACGAGTGCTCAAGAATATAGACAACTGTGTGTTTGTGCAGTTAATGTAGGTGGCAGGAGAGGTCAAGCACATGGCCTGGCAATAGTTTGAACTTGAAGACAAGACAAGCTGTCTTTAGCTTTTGGAGGAGCACAGCCTTCAATCATCTGTGACTAGCCAATTGAATGTTCTTATGATCTGCTTCATCTCCTTCCATACTTTCATTTGGCTTGCGCTGGCTCCATTTGGGGTGTGTGCATACCGGCTTGACCATGCCTGTATGCCCGGATCGGACCGACTTGGGAAATCGCAAAAAAGCTATTAGTACATCAGTTTAAAAGGTATATTTCTTCTGTAAGTTGTTTGGGGTGCAGCTGAGGAACACTATGGTGAGTCGCTGCTGCATCATGGTCTACATTTGCTGCCTCCTGGAAATACCATTTGTGTTGGAGCAGCCGGGCTCATCACTCTTGGAGTGGCACCCAGATTTTCAACGGCTGTGCAAAAAATTTGCAATCTTCAGGGTGCCTTGACGCATGCAATACCTGAGTTGATAGCATCGATCAAATAGTTGAAACAAACCTTCCAACAGAGACCTGTTTTGGTTGTTCTAGAGAGTCACTGACCAAACCCTCCCACACACACACCGATGCCCATAGCCCAGGTGTTCGTTTGGCTTGGCTCGTATGGGGGCACAAGCGCCTTGTCGATATGGTGTGGGTGGAAGCCAACTGCCACCTCAGGTGGATGCAGTGCTTTTGCGGATGACTTCCCCCCAACTTGAGTATATACTCTCTTTGCAGGGAGGAAGTTCCAAATCACGTAAATGAACACATATGTGGACCAAACCAAACAGAAGAATGTGAAAACAAGATAGAAAGATCTCATGGCGTTATACTATTGTTCTTTCATCTATGATCTTCGCCAGTTCATTGAGCACGTGCGATCGCATTGGTGCTAGGTCCCAAGGGCACCTTGCTCTATAGCAATTATCGCTTTGTGGAGCAGCTGTATTTACCTTTGCCCGACAAAGAGTGGGACAGCGAAGTTTCAATCAAGCAGTCTTGGTTAAACATATGAATTTGAATGTTTCATGTCTGTGCAGTGCACACTATATCAGCTACGTGTGTGTGTGGCCATATTGAGTGCCCAGCTGGCAAGGTATGTGGACTCCAGCGGCGTCCACAGAGTTCAAGGTGGTCCCAACCTCAAAGCAACGCAGTACTATCCAAGATTATTTGGACACACGGTGGCGCAGCTTTGGGAGCAGCACCATGGGGACATCAAGCTTGCTATCAAGAACAAAATGCCACTCATCTGCGCTAGAGGTGCAAATAAAGGTGAAATGGCCTACCTATACTATAATCTTCTTGAGTCCATGGTCGCACTTTATGGAAAGATGTGCTTCAGACGTTTCAGCATGAGTGCACCAATATGTATCGCCCAACATATCTCCCAACGCTGTCACACCTTCGCTGAAGGAAAGAGCTTGAAGCCCGTTCTCATCCTATGAAGACTCCCATTAAGGACCGAGCTCGAATGGATGGGATATGGGTTGCAGTTTGTAAGATCAAGGATTCCAAACTCAATGGGGAACTTGAAGGATCTCCCAAATCAAAAACTCTTAAGGATAATAGAGGGATATCTTTCCAATAGGATAGCTGATATATATGCTATTCACACATTGTGAGAATATAGTAGCTTGGAACTATTACCGGACAATTCCCGGATTCTCGGTTCCCGGGTGTATTCCCGGATTCTCGGTTCTCGGGTGTGAATTATTCCCGG